TTTATTCTATAAGATTTTATTCTATTCTAATATAATTTGTGCTTAAATATTTTTACTGACTATTTTATTATGTAGCACTATACAAATTACATATGAAGTCAAAATTTAAATATTAGTTTTATAACAAGGACTCTTAAAAAATATTTTCTTCTAATTGAACTTTGCAAATATTTCTATTTATAGTTGATCCAACTAATCTAAAAATATAATTTTTCATGAAATTATTAACATAACAGATAAAATTTCCTGGAAATTAATCTCTTGTGACCTGAATTGGGTGATTTTCAAACTAATTCACATTTCCAAGAATGAGTACTAAGTTTTTATAGCCTGTGGCTAATCAAAAGTATTGTACGCAGTTTATATTTTCCCACAGTTATAATTATTACAATTTGATGAAGAAAGATTATAAAAACCTACCATCCACAAGTTTGCTATTGTCCAGATCATTTAATGGGAATGAGATATCTGGGCTTACAAATAGTAACATGGGTCTGAGAAAATAAGTGAGCTTTATTCCAAAGCTCCCAGACCAGTGTGGGGGCCTCTTGAACACTTTCTTATACCAGGACAACCAATTACCTGGGCCCAACAAGGAGTCAGGTTACTTACTATGAAACCTTTTTTCTTCCTCTAAGTCCCTTGAATAAGTCATGGTAACTAGTGATGCAAAAGCATTCCTTCTGATTGGGAGAACTCATGATGTCCACCTCTTTGGAGGAAAACCTAAGTAATATAAAATATAGGAAGTACTTAGTATCACAGTTAACACTTGAGAGTTGTTATACATTATTATGATTACTACTATTAAAATCCAGAGGCCAAATGGTTAAAGTTGCATAGTACCATGAATGATGCTTTTGTTATTTTAGGTGTTTTCCCATTTTTTTCTGGCAAACTCAGGGACCACCATTCAGCAATAGCATTTAGGATGCTACACTCCTTGTATCAACTTTAATCAATGTGGCCATGTTCTCTTAGACCAAAGCCACAAAAACTGGTTAGGTTATTCATTGTTTTATTGTTGCTGCAAATTTTTGTGACTTTTTAGAAACCTTTTCTCTGAGTCTTTGCTATTTTTCTGATTAAGCTTATCATTTTACTTGAGACAATGCCAGTCAAGTATGCCAAGTAAAGGTAATTTCTCTTCTAGAAATGTTAATTATAGATTCATAGAAGCATTGTGTGTAATGGAACATAGTTTTACATATTTTGCCTCCTCTATGCCAGAACAATATTAGATTCTCCATCACCACTATTTGAAATCTAACACAATTTTATGTGTGTTAAGTAGATTATCACTAATATTCCTATTTGTTTTAATGGGTTATATTATTTTAATAGTGCTTTTATTATTTTTAGGTGCATTAAACCACAACTTAAGTCTTTTGCTCTGGGTATCTACACTTTAGCAATAAGAGTTCTTGGTAAGTATAACATATATATATACAAATATATATATATATAAATAAATTATGGTACCCCTCATACATATATGTGGAAGAATTTTCTAAATACTTTTGAAGAATTACTGGACATAGCTAAGGCTATAGGTTGCTAAATCCATATTCTTCTTATTTTCTTCCTTCTATTCATATTCATTCCTTCCCTCATTTCCTTGATTCCTCCTTTCCTTTGTCCCAGAAACATTACCGAGGGCCTATGCTATGCAAGAATTATAATGAGATTCTGTTAGAGTAATCACAGTCTTGTCTCTTCTGGCACTTTGCTATTGTCATGAAATTCATTGCTGTAATGGGAGAGCCCTTGGAGAAGAAACAAAAAAGTCAGTGAAGGAGGGCTGAAGCTGAAAAATAAATTTTCCAGATATTAAAATGTGGAGAATTTTTTTGAACTGCTCTCACTGGGCATCTCTAGAATATGACATTAGATAGAAAGAGGTCATTTAAACAATCAGTGTGAATGAATTTGAGTCAGTAATTGCTAAAATGTAATTGAAGAATTTTTTCCCAGACAACAGCATTTTAAAATATGCATTGACTGTTGATTCCTACCATTTTGTTCTGAAACCCTGTATCATATCTATTGTTTTTGCTTTGTTTTGTTTTTGTCTTTGTTGTTGGTATTCTGCTATTGTTCATTTTTTATTATTCTCTTTAAAATAAAAAAATAACCCAGAGAAACAATCCATTGGACAGCTAAGTTTTCGTCTTTAGGGACTCCACCTCTAACAGAAAAAATGAAGTAAATGTTTCTCTGTAATTTGACAGAAAATTGAGTGGGATGGGGCTCAGAGATTTTAAAAGTTAAATTTGGTTTACATAAGCCTTCATAAAAAATGACTACAAAATACAATATAATCCTGATTAAACTGGAAAGGAAATGAAAAAGGAGGTATATACTATTGTGGCCTGCTGCAGTTCTACAATGTAAAACTAGAGATTGTAAAACTAGAGATTGCCTGAAAAAGTGCCAGGTCTTGAGGCTGAAATATATCCCTTCAAGGACTTGCTCCTCTTTTTGCTTGTAACAGTATAGATTTAAACTGAAGAGCAAAAGTGCTTCTACCTAAAACAAATGATTTATAGAATTGATTTGATAAAATAATACTTAAATATGGCAAAAAAGCATAACCAAACCAAAAAAGTAAATTATAACCTGGGAAAAGTTGTATAATTTATATAACATATAAGTAACTAATGTTCCTGTTATAAAGAGGGTTCCTAGGCTTTCAAAAGAAAAACACCATGAAACAACCAAACAGGAAAATGGGTAAAATATATGAGTACCTATTCTATGAAAAATATAATGTAAATGCCTTTTAATATAAGAAAACATGCTCAAACTCTCTCATAAAGTGAATCAAATTAAGACTATATAAAATAAATAAAACAGCTACAGTTTATTGAAATAGGTTGAATATACAAACATATAATGGTACTTTAAAATATTTAGATGTCATGAAGCTTCAAAAATTCTGAGAATACCATAATAGCAAGTCAGTGTCTTAAAATTAATTAACAAAGGTAAAAGACAATCTTTTATTTTGCCTTTCTTCTTTTAGCTCTATTTAAAATTAACCAAATGGTCGATGAGTAAAAATAACCTTTTCTTTTTAAACTCCCAAATAATGTTTGCATGAGGAAAAGTATTAAACAAAATATTTCCATCTTCCCTTCTCCTTGTTAGGACAAAATACCCAACACCCACAAGCTAAAGAAGAAAAGGTTCATTTTAGCTCACAGTCTGTAGAGATTTCAATCCATAGTTGGCAGGCTCCAAGGCAGAGTGAATAGTAGAGGGACATCACAGAGGAGAAAAAATCCATGGCAAGGCTGGCAGGAAGTAGTGAGACTTCCTTCTTTCATTTTTTTTTTTTTTAATTGCATCTATGCTACAAACCTACTGGCTGGTACCACCTACACCAAGGGCAGATTGTCCTTCTTCAGCGAACCCCCACTCACACCAGAACCATGCTGAACCAACAGTGGACTAATCCAGTATCTTTAATCCATGATCCAGTCACTTCCCAAAGACTCACCTGTGAGCACATTAGGCTTAAGGGGACATTGAGATACATGCCAAAATAATCCCCGTCTTGCAGACTCATCAACAGTTACTAAAAGCTTTAGGTGAAAGTTGATGAGGAACTTCACGAGAGAGGGACCAAACTGCCATACCCTAAACCTCGGATTCACTGTTGCATTGCGAAGACTGACACGCAGAGCCCAGATTCCTTCTGGCTGAGATACAGCCGAAGTGCACAGATCTACTTCATCTTATCCCTGCTTAACATAAGTTGAGTCTATCAAGATCTAACTCCCAGGGTATTTAAAAAGTGGGCCCTAGGGTGACAAATCAAACTACATTATGAAGAAGCAATTAGACAAATCCAGAGTGTGGCAAATCTTACATGAAAAAATGTTCTTTCTCCAAAAACATTAGCATAAAAAAAAATATATATATATATATATTTGGTATCAGGAATCAAATGGACCCTGATAAAAACAAACCAACTGCCAAAAGATTCCTTGGAGACAGTCAGAAAAATTTGAACATGCGTTAAAATTTAGATAATATTAATGAACTATTGTAAAGTGCATTAGAAATGAGAAAGGCTTGGTGATAACGTTTTCAAAAGTGATGTCAGACATACAGGCTGAAGTAATTATAAGTGATACAGTGTTCGAGACTGCCTTTAAAATAGTTCGGATCTGAGGAAGCAATGGAACAGGACTAGAAATATTGCTAAACTGTTGAGGGACTAAGAAAATTCATTATATCCTTCTGTCTACTTTTATGAATGTTAAAAAATTTACTAAGAATGTTAAACCATATGCATAAAGGTGCAAAAAATTGGATCTTTGTCACATCATTAAGTGCAATTTACAGATAGTTGTTATTTGGATTTTTAAGTGGACAATCATCTATATGATTGGATAATGTATATAGAAAACTGATTAGGGGAATCAGATAATCTGAATTGAGTGATAGATATATCTGCTACTCTTATTTCCATGCAATTTTATGCAAAATAGTCATCTAGATCCTTTAACTTTTGTAATTAGTACACATTTGCACTATGTAATATTTATATTTCTTGTATAGAGTTGGTACATGTTCATAATACACCCCTATTCCTTTTTTCATCTCTCTTTTATCTCCCTCTTCTTCTGCCACCTCTTGATCTGTTTACCATTTGAGAAAGACCTATCTCTCTACTTCCCATGGTGTATCTTTTATTTTGCTCTGCATTTATATTTTGGGTTTCTTATATAAAAGAATCTATGCAATATTTAAACTAGTGTGTCTAATTTCTTTCACTCAACATTATGTTCTCAAGCTACATTCATTTTCCTACAAATGACTCAAATTTATTTTGCATTGTAAAAAATTCAGGCAAAATACAAAGATAGCAAGAATGTTATAATCAACCCCCATATATCCATTATACTATTTCAACAGTGATCCACATACAACCCATCCTAGGACATCTCTCTCTCTGCTTTCCTCATTGACTTATTTAAAATGCCAGATTACTGCATTTCTTCCATAATAATTTTAGTATGTACTTCTAAAACCTAATAATTTCTTTTAACTGAATTATCCTGGCTTAAATAATTCCTTAATATTAGTAAATAGCTAAGTAACATTTGATTTTTCAAAGATCATATTGTATGTGCTCATACATGTCGGTTTTATTCTACGACTGAAACATGCCTCTCACTGCATTTAGGAGACAAATCTCTTAAAAGTCTTCTAATCAACCTATAGGTGCCTCTCTCCTTTTGTTTCCAACTGTGGATTATGATGAATTTCAAAATTTTCAAAAATTACAGTGAATACTTTTATAACTTTCCTTTGGATTCATCGGATGTATCAGAAAAGACAGAAAGCTATCCTCTTTTTCTCTTGATATATATTTTGTTGAACCATTTGAAAATAAGTAGTGTGCATCTGATACTTCACTGCTAAAGACTTCAACCTATATTCTTCTACAAGACCAAGAAGGTTGTCCTGTTCAACCACAATACCATTATCACACTTAAGAAATTTAACAATGGTAGGATACTACATCTAGTCTGTATTCCACAATTAAATTTCTTTCACATTAAAAGATCTTTGATAGCATTTCTCCCCTTTCAGTACAGGGTCAGTGAAGGGCCATATACTGCATTTAGTTACCTTTTTTTTTTTTATTGCCAACAATCCCTTGTCATTTTCTTCTTTCTTTCTTTCTTTCTTTCTTTCTTTCTTTCTTTCTTTCTTTCTTTCTTTCTTTCTTTCTTTCTTTCTTTCTTTCTTCTTTTTCTTTCATTTTTTCTCTTCTTTCCTTCCTTCCTTCCTTCCATCCTCCCTTCCTCCTTCTTTCTTTCTTTCTCTGTTTCTTTCTTTCTCTCTTTCTCTTCCTCCTTCCCTCCCTCCCTCTTTCTTTCTTTCTTTCTTTCTTTCTTTCTTTCTTTCTTTCTTTCTTTCTTTCTTTCTTTCTTTCTTCTTTTTCTTTCTTTCTTTCATTCTTTCATTCTTTCTTTTGTCTTTTTGAGACAAGATCTCACTATACAGTTGAGGCTGGCCTTGGACTCACTTTGTAGCCCAGGCTGGTCTCAAATTCACTGTGTTCCTCCTGCCTCAGCCTTCCAGTTTCCAGGATTACAGGCATGCACTAGCACACCTTGCTTTAGTCATTTTTGTAAAGAGGCAAATTCAGTTGTTTTATATAGGATCCTACCATTCTGATTTGTCTGTTTTCTTTTGATGAAAAGCACTAAGATACTTTTGGTGAGAATGCAAGGTATGATTAAAAAATACACTGGATGTAAAAACTTAAGCATGTACCACAGTAAAAGATACATTGCATTTAATCCCCCTCTCAGTGCTCCCCTTCACTTTGAACACATTTATCCCATCACTTTTGCCACCTTCTGAAGCACTTCTGGACATGCTCTTTCAGGAGTGTCTTTCACAGTGTTGTCCTGACTTTCTTGATGTCCTGAATCAATTAAAAATATTAATATTAAAAATTATTAAAATATTAAATAATATTAAAAATATTAAAAATATTTTAAAATATTAAAAAATATTAAAATTAAAAATATTAATCTTTCATAGTTGTTTTGACTCTGCAGAAGAGGGAGAAGTCATGTGGTGCTAAATCCAGTGAAGAAGTTGGATGAAGACTTACAGTAGTGCTTTTAGAAGCCTGACTTGCTCTACTCAGCAACACATAAAAACATATTTTTATCATTCCTCATAAAGACATAAATGATAACTTCTAGAATGTCTTTAGAAAGTTGAAAATGATGGGATGATTGTTTGAAGTGAGGGGAATATTTTGAGGAAATTTGTGGCAGTATTTTTCTAGTCTAATAATTTTTTAAATTACATTCACCATGTACTTTGATCACCCCTTGGACTGCATAGGTGCTATATTGTCCTTGGTACATCACATCAGAATACCTGTCAGTTCAATTTAAATCATCACTAAAGATTTAATTTGGCCTCTTGGCCAAAGTCGTGTCCACCAATATTCTCCATTTTCAAAGTTGACTGCAATTACTAGATAACTTAGAGTGTAACACTTCGAGATTATGTAAATATTCCACCCTCAAGTTTAAGGAACCATTACTATTTCTAAACTGAGTCCATTATTACACAAAATTTGTATCAGCAAAATGTAGGTAGAGCTTTGTTCTCAAAGAGCAGATGAATTATCCCATTAACTAGAAGGGGTCATAATTATTCTTTGATTTTAAAAATTTAGCAAGGGCCAGGAATATAGCTCAGCAGCACAAGTACCTGCCTGGCAAGCACAAGGCCCTGTGTTTGATTCCCAGTACCTAAATAAATAAATAAATAAATAAATAAATAAATAAAACTAAAAATTTGGCAAGAGTATATTCTTTTACATAATCATACAAAGCAATGATATAACAGAAGAATAGGTATATAAAAGAGATTAAAAATTAACTGATCGAAAAGGACTCCAGGTAGTTGACAGAAATGAGCGAGGGAGGTAATAACCTGTTGAATGTGTAGTGTGAACTCCATTTGGACACATATTGTAGGGAATGAGATGTAGGCAACCATTCCTCAATTCTAGCCCACTGTTATGTTCAACTGCCAGTAATACAGCGTTTCAGAGAACTCAAATATCTGTGATTTTGTACAAAGTGCCCTGGCTTTTAAATATTAGCTACACTTAAGAAACACAACCTGTGTAGACTAAAGGACAAATGTTAATGGACCAACAGTTTGAAAAATATAAAATATAAATTGAATTGTGATCAGCTTGTAATAATCTCAGAATACTTTTGCTTAAAGTTTTATATGAAAGATATCCTTTTTCTTTAAAAAAGAATTACATTCTAGCAAACATTTTTGAGAACCTGTTAGCATTTATAGCATGAATAAGAAAAACGTGTTTCCAGCCCGATATAGCTTGTAATCCAGTAGGAAAGGCAATGAAACAAGCTATTACAGGAGTGCTAAAGATTTCGAGAGAAGTATAAATGCTCTGAGATAAAGAACCAAAGGAATTAAAACAGTTTTGGTCATCCGAATAGTCTTTCTTAAAGGAAAACATTTAGACTGCAATTCAAATGAATGTGTATTGAGGAGTGGAAGAAAAGAAAAGTGACTGGAATATAGAAAATCACCTGTCACTCAGGCAAGAGGAAAAAGTATTCTAAACATTGAAAGAAATGCAGTGATGTTAACATTTGAAATATAAGTTAATGAATATTATCCAAAAAGGGCCCAGAAATATAAATGGGGTCCAGTGTTCAGTTGACTACTCCTGTTTAGAAATAGAAGTCTTGGGATATTATTTATGTAACTAAGAGGTTTAACATCCATACAGTAAGCTGATTGGAGAGGACTGAGGCAGGGCAAGAATAATAAATTGGCTCTTGCTTTATATCTAGAGGAACAGAAAGAAAGGAATGAGTTTCAGATATAAACAGCAGGTAGAAATAGCTGGTTAGAAATGGGTTAAATGTGATAATGATGAGAGAGAGGAGGGAGTGAAGTATCACAGAGGATTCTGAAGCTTGTACCTTTAGCAAGTGGATAGAGGCTAATGAAGAAATAGGTTTTGGAAGAAAGAAATTGTCTGAAGTACCTTGGAGCCATCCTTCTGTAGGTTAACCAGAGGGCAGTTATTGATGAATCTATAGCTTTTGAGAAAAGACTAAAGTAGACAGGGGATTTACAGGTATCAGCTTGTTACTGATGACGTTCCATCGCCCAAGCAGTAATTATTAAATGAAATGAAAGTAGTTCCAAGTAATCACTCATGACCAAAAAAATGCAAATATGTATTTTTGGTAGTAATTATTTATTTTTCTCACAGCAGGAATCCCAGCGCCAGTATATTTTGGAGTTTTGATCGACACATCTTGCCTTAAATGGGGATTTAAAAGGTGTGGAAGCAGAGGATCTTGCAGATTATATGATTCATATGCTTTCAGGTATCCTATGCAATGCATTCCCACATCTCACTGTACAAAATCCCAATTTCACTCAATGCCACCAGCATTAATAATTCCCTATGTAGTTTTGCTGCTTGTTAAGATATAGTCTGCTAAAAAGTATGATCTCTTTCATAGAATAATTTTATTATTTAATTATATGGCTAGATATGTTAATTTTCATCCATTATTAACATTGATTCCCATCTTAAATGAGTAATTGTTTTTAAAACATGATGAAAGATGCAGAAAAGAGTACCAATTTGAAAGTTTATGCACCCAAATTGCTAAGCAATTCTCTGGAACTCAGAAACATTTAAATTTAGGTCACATTTTGAGTTTAATTCTATTCTTTTTCAACCTGAGCCAAACTGTACCATTTACGTCAGACATAATCCCCCTGGGCAAGAGTTGGATTTGGCTCTAAATCTGTCTGGCTGTTATTGCCAAACTGATGTTCAATTATTCCAGTACTCGAAGAGCATAAAAGTAAAAGGTTTCCTCTGTGTGGGTGAGTGTGTATGGGGGAGGGGGAGCGTGGCTTTTTTTACTGGCATCGTTCAGTCCAGTTCACCAAACATTTAGTTCTCTTGTTGCTTAAAGAAATGCTTCAATGGCTTAAAAGCAAGGATTTTTAAGAGACTTACAAGCTGAGCATATTTTCAAAAAATAAACTTGGTGCTGACCCATCTAAGTAGGATGTGAATGGGGCAGAGCATGGCAAATAGGTTTGCTTGGTTTAATAGGCTTTGATGTTCTGTGTGAAATTTATTTTAGTGTTTAAGAAGGACTGGATCCGTGAGTATAATTTGAGCTTTACTCACATTTGGGAAAGCTGTATTCACTTTAATGTGAAAACGGTGTAATTTAATCAGACACGTGGAGGGATCAGAGTGAGATGTTCAACTGGTCCTCCCACACCTTAGCATTTTTGATAGTGTAGAACTAAACGTTTATCATGGAAGAAATTGGTTTAGATCTCAGGTTTATTCTTGAATCATTTTGCTTTACTGAATGGTCTGCTTCCCTTTAGCATTGCTTCATGCAGTTTTTCCATAGAAATAAAGCCAGGGAAAGTCTAGGGATAAGGTAACCTCCTAACTTATCACTCAAACCTGGACACTTTACAGTGAAAGAGGACGCTATTAAAAGTACACTGTGACAGCACTGGGTCTGCTCTCGGTAAATAGGGATACTGTCACCTGGTCTAAGGGACTCATTTACAAAATTAATAGTAAGGGAAAATGATGGTACTACTAAGAAATTGCTTTATATTAATAAGCTGCCTTTGCTTGTCTACTAAAGTTCATAGAAGGGTCTTCTAGAACCACCATTCCATTATAAAGTTGCATTCTTCAAAAGAACCATCCTACTATACCTACCTTTTGTATTTTATTTTGGGTTGAGTAATTGAAATAATTATAAGAGAGTTTTTTTTTTCCTCTTCTAGGTACATATATCTAGGACTGACTATGATTCTGGGCACACTATCCATTTTCCTAAGCACTGCAGTGCTTTTGACTTTAAAGAAAAATTGTGTTTCAAAACGTAGAAGCTTCATAAACAAAAGAGACAGAACAATGGTTTCGACAAGATTCAGGAAGGAGAACTGTGCTACAAGTGATCATTTGCTACATCCCAGCTATTGGCCAGGCAAGGAAACTCGACTTTAGGAGAGGATGTCTGGCAGCCACATTTTCTATTGGGCTGAAATTCTGCAAACAAAGTTGAATTAAAAGGGGTTTCAGTGTGTAATTTCTTTGTACCTTCAAAACAATTTTACTTCATTTTTGGTGGTAGGCATTTGATAACATACCTGATAATAACTCTCATTAAACGTACATCAGAAGAAGCAGATGATAAAACTAATTTAAAATCTTTTAATTTACACACAAACTCTTTGTATTACTTATTAATTCTGCTGCATTTTGCCTTGTGTCCACTGCTATACAAGCTCTATTCCTAGTACAACAACAGTTCCTGTGGTCTAATGGTTATATAGAGAATAATTGCTAAACTAAGTTATTTGTCTAGAGTAATAGAGGATTGTTAAAAATTAAGCCACATCTTGGGATCCTTCAAGTGTCTCCGCAATGAAAATGCTAGGATTCAGTCACAGCACAGAGAGGGAGATTTCATTTTTGAACTCTTCTTTTGTTTTGAAATATAAAAATTAATATAGAAATGTGTTGTGATAAAGTGATCTTGAGGAATTGAAAGTTTGGGATTATTATTAGTTCCTTATCTAATCATTTACATATACTTGTGTGATGCTATCAGTGACCATTGATGTAAAGTAACAAAATTGATCTTGATGTATTTTATTGCCCTATGAATTCCATGGATTAAAATATTATTAATAAATTAATATATATTATTAAATACATATCCCTTATGTACATAATATGTTCCTTAAATGTGTTTGAAGGTTTCTTTTCTGAAAGTCCTCAATAAACTTTGATGTTATAACAGGGATGAGAACTATGGATGGAGAGATGATGAGGGTGGGTGTCTTGCGTTTTGATGTCTACCTACTACCATCATCAGACATGTGATTCCTGGACTGAAAGCTGCCACTGATGCTGCCTGACAGACAGACCCTGTTTCTCTGCAACTAGAAAATTCGATCCAGGTGTTTCTTCTTGCCTGGTTCTCTGTTTTCTTATCTTCTTTTGACTAGGGTTAGTAGGTTCAGTGTTCCACCATCTTTAATCTTCAGGTCCATTGAGTACTGTAGTTTTATTTGCTTATCATAGCTTTAAAGACCAGTCTAATCCATCTCAGAAAATTAGATTTAAGATAGGGAACACTCTAGTGAGATGTGTGAAGCATACCATTCAGATACTGCCAGCTCACAGTCTATTACTGTCAACACACTTTCAGTCTTGTGCCATCAAGAGAAAAGACCAAGTGAAAGTAAAAGCTGGGCTAGGAAAGGAAGAGTGCAGGGAATTCCGGTATCAGTGGGGTCACAGGGTACCTTAACTGCAGAGGAAGATGACCCTTACATGCCAAAAAGATTTTCAAGGTCAGAAAGGGGTCCACTATTTTATTATGTCCCAGCCACTCTAAAAACTGTATTGTTTAATATTTGCAGCATGCTTGGTACCAGCAGCTTCATTTTACAGATGACTCAATTGACACAAGAGAGATTAGATAAGTTGCTGAGATTGGAGATGCACAGCCATAATTAGACCCAGGTTTAAATCTCAAATCATTTCCAGTGTGTAAGCCTGACCCCCATACTGTAGAGCAATACTAAGAACAGTGCTTAGCAATACTAAGTTCACTGTAAATGTCTCTGAACTCTTATTTCACTCAGCAGTTTGGTTTGATAGTTATCCCTGTATTTCAACATCAGGTAGATGGTTAAAAACCTTATGAACCACAGAAATAATTTACTTAGCTTATTGTTTTCTTCAAACATTGTTGATTTAAGAGTATGATATGCCAGATTTTTAATAGATAACTCAAAGCATGCTATTTAAAATTAAGTCAGAGGGGCTGGGGATTTAGCTCAGCGGTGCAGAGCCTGCCTGGCAAGCACAAGGTCGTGAATTCGATTCCTGGTACTGGAAAAAAAACAACAAAGAAAATAAAATTAAGTCAGATGGTCAAGAGAAATCCTTTACTATTGTGGAGACTGATAACTGCAACATAATTCTTAGCACCTTTAGAGCAAATAAACCACATAAACAAGACTTTACTAACAAAGAGTCTCTTAGCCATTTCTCAGAGCCTAAGTTCAGTGAGAAGGTTCAGTTCAAAGAGGCAGTAACCGTACAGCAAACAGTACAAACAAAATGGTTTGCGTCTTCTAATTTTCCCCTCATATACCAGCTGAAAGTATGAATATAAAAATATGCAAAGCCAGAGTTAGAGAATGGAGAAAATAAGAAATGTCCCTTAAATATATATTTTCTTTGTCATTTTGTTCTATATTTTGCTATTGTCAAAAATAAAAACAGATAAATAGAAACAGATTTGTTTCTAGTAGGCCTAGTTCAAGCCTGCAACTGCCCCACTGGCTATGAGCAGGACTCCTTTCTATCTGGTCTGTATCCATCTTATCCGTAGAAATATTTACTGACTGTCTGAGTGAGTACACTTGTCAAGAGTTTTCTTGGTAGAGATATAATTAAAATGCAAATTTCTCATCCTGTCTCCTACATCCTCCTATTTTTCAAAGCTTTTTATAGTAATAACCTGACAAATAACTACTTCACAAGTGCATTTCTAAACAGAATTCCATTGGATTCACTCATGAATAACTTGAAAAATACCAATCGGCGTAGAGGATGATTAAATGATGGTCTCTTTTATGAAATTACTGAATTGCAATTAAAAGGAAGCATGTTTTCATTCATAACTATTCATTCAATACATGAATTATATATACTATACTCAGCTGTATGGCATATGAGAGTGTCATTTCTAAATTGAATTGAATGTACTAAAAGGAACCCTGATATTTTAAATAAACACACTCATCTAACAGAGGTAAGCCGAGTTTTTAATGCCTCAGAAAGGGCATGATTAACTGTCCTTTAAAGAAACCAAACTTCGTTTCAGAAGTCAAAACATATTCTCGGTGCAGGAATAAACAGCAAATACAACACCTTGATTGATGTCTGGGACCCATACTTACTATGGCTTCAAAGAGCAACCTCGTTCCCTTATTCTACAACCATAGTCCCTCGGAATAGCCAGCACCAGAGGATCTGATTCACTCTAACCTTCAGACAGGTACAGTTCTAGCAATGTCATTTTATTGATAGACTGATTTGAGTTGGATTAAATGACTTGCCCAGCACGGAGGCAGGCAAACTAATGCTGGTTCTTCCATCACAATTCTTCCAAAGCAGGCAATAAAAACAAACCAAAACCTCTAAAAACTGCTAGTAGAGCTTTTGTGATCCAACAGAATTTAAGAAATTTCCACTTACATGTTATATACCTATACTCATACATAAAGGGAAATTGTAAGGAACTGACTATAATTCATATTTAAAAGGACAGAGGAACTTCCATTCCTTAAAATTGACTATAATTCATATTTGAAAGTAATTGTCATTTTTAATAATTTTCAAAGTAACTACTAACCGCAGTGGTTTATATTAAATACTCTGTATGTGCTGAGTGCTTTAGCTACTCTCAACTTTAAAAATCAGCATACTGTCTATTAACATATTATTACTGATATTTTTCAGAGTCAGCAACTAACTTATAGAGGGTTTTATGGGTTTGTGCAAACCCAACAAATTCTAAAAGTTGGTAGAGTCAAGGTTTAAACTGAGAATTATGATTCGTGCAGTCGTACTTTGCCTATATTCATGTATATCCTAAATCTCTGGTTTTCAGTAACTGCACTAAAAGTTATGGCTAATAAAAATGAAATGATACAAAATGATTTAAAATAAGAGGTGAAAATCCTCTACCGCATTTTCATTTTTATTCCTCAAAAGAAACAATTTCTAACTAACTGGCTCCTTTGGTTTTTATGATGACTACCTTCATAGCTTTAAAAAATATGCTCATGTCACTTTCTTGACCTTCCAACTTTTCGCAGTGTCTCTTGAGTGTTTACTCTGAAAAGTCAGGACTAGGTTCGCTCACATATCCTGTGTTCTTTTCCTGGAATCTGTACAAAAATGAAGGCACTATCCTGAATTTCTTTAGTATCAAGAAAGTACTCTATTTTGAACTCAGCAAACAAAAACAGTATCATTTGTGTTGTGATTTGGATACGATTTGGACTGTTCTCCAAATTTCATGTACTGAAAGCCTAGTTCTCTATGCAATGATGACCAGAGGTGCTGAAACCTTTAAGAAATGATGCATAATGGAAGGAGATGGGTCACAGGGGCACCACTAATGCAGTCTCAAGGGACCCCCACTAGTTCTCATGAGAGTAGGTTGTTATAAAGACAGTGGTATGAACCCTTGAATAGCTCTGGATTCCTTGTCATCATGTGATTTCCCCCCTTACACTCATGTCTGCCATGATGCCATCTACCACGTTGTGATGTAGCAAGAAGGTCTTCACCACAGATGAGCCCATGCCAGTGTCACCCTAGCAGAAAAGAAATGTCTTTTCTATATAGAGAACCAAGTCTCGGGAGTTTTGTTAAAGCAATAGAAAATATACCAAGACAATGTATTTCCCCATTTTATGTAATGAAGACCATAAGTTCTCCTTTCCTTCAGGTCTCCAAACTCTGTTCAATCTCCCTGTTTCTGTTAGCTACACATTTATTTTTACATTGCCAAGAAATATAACATTATTAGTCAGTTCTCTGATTAGGAAACCTAAGGAAGGCCTAGTTGGTCATGACTAAGATCAACACCATCTGCTATCAGTGTTATGAAAGTTCACCAGTAGAAAAATAAGGAAAAAGTAAAAAAACAAATTATTGAGGACCAACGATTGTATCAGATATCAAAAGCACATCAGCACATCTAAACACTGTTGGGGCTGTGGATTTAGCTCAGCCGCACTGCGCCTGCCTGGCAAGCACAAGGTCATGAGTTCGATTCCTGGTACTGGAGAAAAACCAAACCAAACAAAACAAAACAAAACAAAACTGTTAAGTGTGAAGTGGAAAGGTGTTTTGTGTCCAGATAATTTTGCAATATGCTGAGTTAATGATGGACTTCATACTTGTATCTATTCAATATAATGGTGTTGAACTCCTTCAGGGATATGTATTCCAAACTTATTTGACAATGAACCCATTTCTAAGTAAAAAGTCTTAAGCATATTTTTCAATATAATATTTTTGGAAAATAAAATTGTACCCTTTGTTTGCTCTCTAGCATCAAGATTATGATGTCTTATAAATTTAACTTGAAAACAATTTAATTTTTGATGTTTTGGAACATTAAAAAAACTCATAGGTATTATGTGCTTCTTTTACATTTGAAAGAATGTTGTTAGCCTATTTGGAGAAATAAATAGTTCAAAAAGCTATTGATCGGTCAAGATAGCCTTTATACCTATATATCTACGTACTGTCTATTGGACATCGATCTAGGACATCTATCTGCTTAGTGACTCAACTTTGGATTTTTTGTCTAGAAAAGCCTTCTAGATTTTTTAAAAGATAGTCATATAAATTAGAATATCTACATTTGTATTTATTATATGTTTCTGTCCTGAATCCTAATTTTGTATTCTTGATTGTAGTGGTTGATTGATTATGTCAACCTGAGAAGTTTAGAAGCATAACTAAACTTGGCTCAGCAACTGGCTCAGCAATTCTACACCCTAGGGGGTAGAGGAGCCACCCTAGGGTGGATCGTCACCTAGATAATATAAAAAGGAAATGAAGAAGGACAGAGGTACTTCTATTTCTTTTGGAGGAGCTCCAGTCTTCACCTCCAGCTTGGACTT